CCGCCGCCGCCCGCCGCCCGCCGCCCGCTTCCGCCGCTCTCAAATCAGATTTACTCCGACTCGTCGTATCGTTTATAAATAATTATTCAGGACCGGTGTAAGGTTGCCCGGTGGCTCGCGCCGGTGCCGGCTGAGCGCGCCGCCGCGGCCGCCCGCTCAGTTAATACGCCGTTTTGTTTCACCCCGTTTGGTGATCGCTTGTAATTATTGTAAACTGTATTATAATAATTATTATAATTATATTAATAATAAATCAACTTTTTCATAATTATTACAGAATATTTTACTTTGTATATCCTACTAAATAAATATTTTAACATATAAACAATAAAGTACTTAAATATAATGTTGCCGTTAAATTTTGATATCTGATCCTTTAAATATCATTGTATGTATATTAAATATCCATAAGAATATAATAAAAAAGACAATTTGAAATTATACATAGTTTTGTTTGCCAAACTGACCGCCATTTCAGAGTTAACACTCTGCAAAGCGCAAAGCGCGGATGTCGAGTGGTATGCTGCGTAGCGCGTAGCATCGCCACGTAGAATCACCTACATAATACCGCTACGGCACAACATAAAACATTTCGCAAATTAGCAAATAATCTCGAAAAATCATTAACACATTCCAGGCCATTTCAGTTTTTTCCTCTTTTAATAAACTCGCAAATGTGTCAGTGGTATTTTTAGTAACACCCTCTATCTTTTGATATCGTCAAAAAGAAACATAAATCGAGTGCGTTAAGTAGTTCATTAATATATATATATATTAACATTACTTACTTCTGACACCCACGCGATCATATCAGACAATCGTATATTTTACGAGCTCTCGTTTGCCTACAGCAATACGAATAAAAGAATTGACGTATAACCTCGAACGATAAAACGCCTACACAGACAGACTTGTTACCAATGATCGACATTTATGACCTAAATTTAATTAGTTAATAGAGTTTCTATGCGAGATCGCAGCAGGAGTGATGTGATCTGGAGCAGAACGTAGGTTACTGTCATTGCCCGAAGAATTGTAAAGTTGCCCGCAGAATGGACGATGGGGCCGTAAAGTCCTAGAACGGCGGCCACTGACAAGTCAACGCAGCGTGAGCAGGGCTTCTGCAAGATGGACCGATGATCTGGTTAATGTTGCATGAGTATCCTGGATGCGAGTTGAACAGGACTGATCATAGTGGCGATCTTTGCGGGAAGTCTTTGCCCAGCAGTGGGGTACATTCACACATCATAACTTTAAGCGAACTAATTGAACGAACAACAACAACAACTTTAGAACGTACAGAACTGACATTGCATTTGTTTTAAAAATAAGTTGTTTAGGATTCTGCCCAATTACTATATTCCACTTTCTAATTTTATTAAAAACAAAAGAAGCACAAAAAGATAAACTGCACCAATGACAATCACAGATAATACGCATAATTATTAAGCCACTGCATGCCATATTTCGATCATATCACTTAACATCAGGTGGGATCGTGGTCAAGCGTATTCTTATTCAATATAGAAACCATCAAAATGAGTCCAGTCTACAATAGGCTTTTAGTCTACAGGATATTACTAGGGAATAGACACACTATTACCCTCTTGTCAGTCGGGTAAATGGCAAGCATTAGACTTGCAATGATGACGACACGGTGGTTGCATGGTGTCCGGTTCGTTTCCGTGGCGACGTGCGTTCGATCCGCTGCAGTAAATAATGCACGGGCGGCATCGCGGGCTAATTTTAGCCGACCGTTCGACCTGCCCTCAACTAACCCTCGCAAAACACTTTCTTTAACTTGGAACGCAATTTTTTTAATTCTAATCTATTCAAAGTTCTACGCATTTAGTCGTTATTTATTAATTTTCAAAGCTTTTTATCTATACACAGGTCTAGAATGACTTATGATGCATGAATTCACATGTTAAAATAGCCAATTTAACTATTTAGCGATATAATAATATTATCCGCAAAAAAGACTTTATTAAAAAAGAAAAAATACTTTTAAATTTCAAAAGAAAATATACCCGTTTACTAGTTTTAAAGGAACATAGACTTGGCAGACGAATTCCTTGGTATTGAATACTATCGCCAAACAAAGAGTACGTGAGCTTGAGAGGATTCATACGTGCGTCGTCGACCGCAGCCGCAGTCACCGTGTGGCATTCGTTGCCAAATTATTTTGTTAACTCAGTGTACTAGAGTTTAGAATATAATATTTTTTTAATTGTTCTTAATTTAATTTGTCAGCCTTTTTAACCTCATTTACATTGTGAAGTATCATTTATTTTTTATTTAAGTAAATGGCCACTTCATTTGTACTTAAATTATGAAAAAAATCTGTAAAATAATGTTTACTACTTATATTCTCAACAAGACGTCACTTACCATGGGTTTCTGAATCCATTAACCCATGGTAACATATATCATTATCTTTCTTTTGTCAAAGATGAAAGACAGGGATGACGATATTTTATACAGAGATTATCGTGTCAGAAACCCACGGTTAGTAGTTTTAAAAAAAATATTTTCATGTAAGCCAAGATATCATGCTTTTAATGCTCTTTAAAATTAAGTATATAGGTCGTATACTTTTCAAGCTTGAAAAGATCTACGTTCTTGAAATAAGCCATGCGTTTACACAGCAGATCCTGTCAAAAACACTGGCTATATATGTTTTTAAAATCTAGTCTTTTTTGCTTACTATTTACACAAATTACTGCACAATAATGAACTAACAGGAAGACCAAAGAACTAATGTACATTTCTTTTTTATTTTAATGCCATCTATTGTTTCTTTTTAATAATAATGCGCCATCTAGTGTGTTTTTAACGCAACAGGATTAAAAATGTCTAATTCCAGTAGGCAATGTTTTGTTTCTCGTAGACCTAACGTAGCAGTGCTACGAAACGTCTACATAAAAGTTCACTTGTTCAACATAAAATTTGACATTTTATGCTCCTTTCTCTCTTCTTCGGATATTCATACCTCGACGGTCATAGGAGCAAGTAAGAAATCATCATTAACCTTGTCCCTACGGAGGGTTGGCACAGTACTAATCCTCCATACATCTCTATCAGCCGTCATATCTGAATTCATCTCCTTCTTACGCATATCCTCTTTCACACAATCTAATTATACTTTCTTCAGTAGCTTCTATATATATGTAATCAAAAACAAATGAGCAAGGCTTGAAACGAATCTTGCTTTTATTATAAATGCGAATGTTTACATGGATGGATGTTTGTTTGAAGGTATCTCCAGAACAGCTGCATGGATCTAACTGAAATTTGGCATAGACGTAAAACATAGTCCGGAAGAACACATAGGCAACTCATTAAGTTTATTTTTAATTCCGCACGGTCGAAGTCGCGGGTGACAGGTAGTTAATTAATATACTTCATAAGGAATTTTCTACTACCAGTGTTTAAGAAATTTGAAATAAAAAAATATTGTAACTTTTGGAGTAAACTTTATTTGTTTGATATATATCTTATCTACAATACTACATAAAGGATCTAACATAGACATATAGTTTATAGCGATAGTATACATATGCAGGAAACATCGCTACATCTACGTTCTAAGAAGATTGTAAACAGTAAACATATATAAAACATTAGTTATTATATTGTATACATCAACATTATATAGTTCACCTAATAGAACATCTAAACAACAGTATATAAACATCAAATATTCTTATGTACTTCATACTATATATTTTTTCAATAGTCACATTAAATTTTTTTGTTACGTTAAAAATATTAGGCCAAAGATTGCCTTTATGATTTTGTGGTGAATCATTTTTTTTTTATTTCTCATTGACACCATCTTAGTATAAGGACTGTCATTCTAGTAACTTAAAAAAATATAATTTCTGAATAAAGTAACTTAAAATGTGCGTTTAATATGAATACAATTATTATAAAAAAATACAGAATTTTTTAATAATAATTTAGTATAATCGACAATTTATAGAACAGGATATTAGTCCATAATACGTCAAATTCTTAAGACGTAGTCGCGGGCAATGCTAGTATTAAATAATTAAAAACATGAATATGTATATTTAACCACGAAAATATGTTTAAAAATGTCATTTTAATTTGATCAGTTTGAAAGCCAATGTGTGTCAAAAACTTCACATCCTTGAATATAGTTATCTCTGTTTGATTCAAAGAGAAGGAGAGGGATGTCATTATAACATTGGTCACAATTGTCATCTCTTTCTGTCTCTTTGAAAATACAGAGACAGAAAGGAATGGCAATACTGACTGTATTCGTCAATCGAATTTCACCGTTAATTTGAATTGTAACATGTATAAGAGAAGTATGTCTGTGTTTTATTTAATTAATATGAAAGGGATAGCAATATCGTAATACTGATTTACTACAGATTGCTAAATAATCATATCGTTAATAATACTAAGGTAACTCCAACGCCATAACCGCGAGTGCGTCGTGAGGAGGCGGCACGTTGAACACAGGCTGACCGTCTGCGCCGCAGTAGTCAGCGTAGCGCACACGTCGTAGTGTACGTAGACCCAGCGAGCTACAGATACGCTGAGAGTACGCGCCTGTTGCATCCACTTTGAACAACTGCAAGGAATTATTTCATTCGTTCGTAGCATGAAGAGTGCTAGTGTCCCGCTTATATAATCTCTACCAACCACTATGATAGAGTTATTTAAATCTAATATTTCCTACGTAGTACCAACACTAATACTGTTTATAGTAAAAAATCTAGTATTAGTCTGAGTTAGGTAATCTTACTAATATTATAAATGCGAATGTTTAGATGGATGGATGTTTGTTTGAAAGTATCTCCAGAACGACTGGACGGATCTCGATGAAATTTGGCATACATATAGAACATAGTCT